TTTTAGCTCCTAGTTTTGGTTTTGTGATACATTTCCTGCCAGGTTCAGTCCCATTGTGTATGTGTAAGTATATTTTTTAACAATCATACAGATTGTTACTTAGTAAGCTTCTTTCAGTGATAAATTCAGTGTTTTCTTCTCCCTGGTCATTGCTCTGTTCGACAATTTACTTTACATTTACTTTTCTTCATCTAAGTGAACCAGATGCTGAGATATAAGTCTGCTTTGTTTATTTTTTAAGTCTTCTTAAAGGCCTTAAACTCAAAAAGGGAAAAACTATATAAAAGTATAGATGGAGTGTGCACCATCATACTAACCTACTCTACTTTTGTATTACTCTTCTGTTATACTTTATTATTGCTATTGCTATTGCTATGTATGGTATAAGTGTGTGTCGGTGTATATGTATGTATTTATGTATGTTGGAAAGGGCTCCAGTGAAGAGTTATTGTCACTGATTGACTCATATAAAGGTTAAAAATTAAATAGCTGTTAAACCAGCTGTGGTTGGTAGCTGTGTGTCCTTTTATATCTGTGCTATAAATATAAAAGGAAACACAAACAAGTTTAACTCACAGTTAAAACTCAGTGTCTAAACCTCTAATAACCTTCAGTGGATAAAGAACTCCCAATCACCCATTTATTGGTACCGGAAATATTTATCAATAATTTCTACATTTTGCATTTATTTTTTTGGCAGCTGATGCAAAGTGATTTAAACTGCTGTTCATGAGATTGTATAAATATGTTAAAATACGTGGTATATATGTGAATGTCAATTAACTTGCAGCATGTATGTATATATATTTATATTTATATGTATATATAAATATATAAATATATTGCTTGCTATCCATGCTATCTGTTAGAACATTTTATGTAAATAAATGTAAAATGATGTACATTCTTGCAATAAATATAAAAAAGGCAGTTGCAGTTGCTGTCTGAACCTCTGACATTAGCTCTGTCCATAGAAGCTGCTGAGCTCAGTTACATTTCCCGCTCACCAGGACTCCACGCCCTGCCAGCATTCCCCACTGGCTCCCCTTCATCCCTGGGCCTGAAAACCTTCTCGTCCTGGTAGTCCAAAGATCCTTTGCTTGCTGTGTCCCCCAGTGCTTTGAACAGCAGAGTTGTTTTTCCACCAGTCCCTGTCCTTCTTGGTTGCGGTAAGTGTGTGTGGATTAATTTTTTTTATTTTAGGGACTTGTTAAGTCGATGAATATCTTGTCCCCGCTGTGTACAGGACTGTAACCGTCTCCGGTGTTACCTGGCAGAACTCTGTGACGATGCAGAAGGCGTCTCCCTCCAGGAAGCTGTGGTAGAAGGTGAGGATGGCCGGGTGGTGCAGCTGAGACAGCAGATGGGCCTCCTGCGTCGCTCGGACTGTCTCGTCGGGCCGAAGGTCGCCCAGAGGAATCTGCTTCAACACCTTCCTGGAGGAGACAAAGGTCAGAGGTCAAACAGTTGAGAGGCACTTTAAATGGTATTTTAGATTTATTCAGTGTCACGTCAGAGCCTTTTCAACTTCCACTTCCAACCAGGTTGTACTAGAATTTTTAATATTGTAATCAACAAGATTCATGAGAGAGTTTAATCACAGGAAATGGTTTGGGTGGGCATTCCTGGGAATCCCGTTTCCTCGTTTCCCGAGAAATATAATAACTGGAAAAGTGGAAAAATTTCTCCTTGTTGTATTCAGTGTTGCTGGCTGATGTCCGATGCACAGCTAAAGTTAAACTTTAAGAACAAGTGCAGTTCCTGGGATTCCCTGTATAGTGTCTTTATGTCTGCGATAGAAAATGTCTCATTTGGGAAAAATATCAATCCCTAATTCATGGTATTCTGTTGTACTGTAGATGGAAGGGTAAAGTGCAACGCCATACTGATTGCCACAGCACACAACAAATGTCAATTCAGTTGTGTTTATAAAGCCCGATATCACAATCTGTACAACAGACAGTACAACACCTTCCTAAAACCCTTGAGTTGGATTCGTAAAAAACCCCTTTAATGGGAAGAAAATGGAGGAAGCTTCAGGAAGAACAGTGGAGGAAGGGTGAGACAGGACATATTTTTGTGGAGATTAAACCAAACTTTAAAAAGAATATGGAAAATGCCATCTTACTAAAATAAACAGTTTATGACTTTCTTTACTTCCCCAAAGAGTAAGTAAAATAAGATCTAAGTGTTCAGGATTAAAATGTCCAGTGTGTGTCTGTCTGTGTCAAACTCTAACAAAGTTAGTTATTGATGTTACTCAGTCAATGACACGTGTGTCTTTAGATTGAACAGAATCAGTATAACTGATGGTGGAAATACTGTGGAAACATACATCCCTACCATAAAACAGCTGCTTTTTTAACAGAGTTTCAGTGTGGAGCAGAGGGTATCTTAACCTTCATATTTTACATAAACTGATCTGACCTACCTTTCAATAATGGACCTAATAATTATATAATATGGTAGTTGTGTATGTCAGGATGCACATCATTCACTATTACCTTATTCTTTATATATAACGGCACCAATTATTGTTCTGTAATGACGTAACATCATTGTTTAACTTGCTGGCTGTAGGATTTAATAGCTAAAAAGCAATATGGTATTCTTTTTTTATGCTATTAAATTGGCAAAGACTTCTAAATTTACATTTACCGCCAGTCACATTAGACCCAAAAGGGGGCGGGTCTTGACGCAAGGCCAAAGAACCCAGATGGGCTGCTCTTATCTGTGGATGATTTCTTTTTTTATATTTTTGTAGGTTTAACAAGCTTGAATCTGCAAAGAGGTTTACACACATCTTTGCAGGAGATTATTTCACACATTGGGTTAATTTGGGATGTCCCCTCTTCTGTCCACTGAACCATCATCAGATCAGCTGCTTCTCACAGAACCCCTCCACAGTGATGTTTCAGGGTCATCCTCACATCCAGACTGAAGAGGAGCAGACTGCTAATGTTAGCAGGATGCTAAAAGAAGAAGAACGGAGCAGTGTGGGGATTGAACCTCTGTCGTCTCCACCCACTGTCCCCTGACTACCTCCTCCTCCTGAGGGAGTTAATCATCCTCTCTGAGCCGAGCCGACCGTCTCTTCTGCTCTTGTTAAATTGGTGAGCAGGTCAGCAGGTGCAATGGAGGCTTTGGTTTATTAGCACAGCCCTCCTTTCAACTCCCAGCTTCACTTACTGCCAGAGGTGTGCTCGGAAAGAAATTCAGTCCTGGACTTATCCGCTGGGACCAGCCCAGGGTTGGGGCTGGGGGGTAGCGATGGAGTAGGCTACGGATGTGCACCCCTAATGACAAACACAGACGGCTGATAAAAACTTAATGGATTTTTTTGACGCTCCACCGATGCCACTGCTTACTGCTCAGAAGGCAGAAACTGAGAATGAGTCAAACTGTAGATGTTTGCTGCTGAAATATAACCTGTATACTGCATTCAATGAATCAAATCTTCCCCTTCACAGAGCTTGATAATAAAGTGCCACCATAAGAAAACAATGCTGAGAGTTCGCTCACACATTTTACTGTCATTAATGGTTGCATTTGCTTATCTGTCTCTCACACTGGCCATATATAATGAGTGGATGGAGCTTCCGGGTCTGTGAAGTGAAGCCAACACAAGTGTCTTAAACCTGAATTCTTTCTAATAGCCAGCATGGGGCAGCTCCATGGGCTGCAAAAAAGAAGTCAGATAGAACTGGGTCTTATGGAGAAATGAGCCGACTTCTGACTTGATTTATTAGCTCCGTAAACGGTTTCCTGATGAGTTTATTGTCTCAATCTCTAGTTTCAGTCTTCTTCCATACAGCATGATGTTCATTTAGTAAATGATGGTCCAATTTACAGTAAAATAGACCATAAAGCAGGGTATGATTTAGGGCGGGGCTACCTTGTGATTGACAGCTCATTCTCAGTGAGTCCATCCAGCTCCACCCACCAAACTCAGACCAAACTGGGCAGTACTGATCAGATATGGATCCAGATTCTGTTACTGTCTTGACTATTTCTCTCCATAAATTGTTTCAGCTTTAGTTTAATTTACTGTTTATCTGGAATACGAGATTGTGTGTGACCAGGCGAGCCGCCATTGTTTCCTGCTATGGACAAACTGTGCAGCCAATGAGAGCAGCTCAACTCGCAGTACTGCCAAACTCGAGGCTAAAACATGGCACTCACAGCATTTGCTTTTAGTGAATAGAAGCTCCAACAAACCCACTTTACTTTGCCTACCCAGCAACAAACAGCAGACAGACAAAGTTAGCATTTAGCATCTAAAGAGACGTGTTTTTCAGGAGTTGGTGAGACCAAAACAGAGGTAAAGAAGAGTGAATATTGGACTCCAAATAAATGCTAATGTTGTTCCTTGTCTTCTAGATGTGTAAATAAGAAACTATTTGCTTAACATGTTTGGCATATCAGCTTTATAAGGTTACACTAGCTGTTTCCATCAACATATTTTAATATCCGCCATCTTGTTGCGTCCTCTCCTTCTGGTGTTTCCGACTGGAGAATTGGCGCCACCTTTTGCTTATCTCTTAACTTCTAATATTCGCATAACAGCAGTGGATGGACACAAGCATTCATCCACAATTTGTTTTGCCAGATTACTCAAAATGTATTCAAAATTGACAATATATTTGGACATTGTTGTGTTTTAATATAGCACCTTTAAAGTTACAGTTTAAAGTTGTGTCTGTGCAGAGACATGATCAATGGAAGGATGATCTGAACTTAAGTAAACCACTGTTTTTTTCTGACCACAACTCAAAATTGGTTCATTCTCCATCTCAACCACCCAACATTAAACACTGTAACTGTACCAGCTAGAAGTACTAAGTGGCCACATGTGAGTATATTGACTGTGAGAATGGACAGGAGATGTGACTGAGGAAGTGTGAGTATAAATAAAACCAGAGTGTGAGGGGTGAGATAAGTTCCTGCTGTGGAGCTGCAAGCCTGCAGTCCGCCTGTTATCTGCTGCTCACATTGTCCAGTCTGTCATCCACTGTTACTGCTACACCTCTGGCCAACAACAAATACATTAAAACTACTCATACAGTGCATCTTACACTATTTCCTGTCATTCTGTTTGTTTTTAGATACAGTGAAAGAAGTTAGACCTCTTATTTTCATACAATCCTGCAGATAATCGAGCACTGAAATGAAGCTGAATCAGCTATTTGTTGGCCATCTTTCACACTTCTCTAAAATTCTTCAAGTATCTGCACAAGTACTTTGATTTCCTGCAGTTTGTTAAAAGTCTGGAATAGTTGGTCATTTTTGTTCTAAATTATACTCATAATTACTAATATTGAGCTCTGCAGCCTAAATGTACATATTTTATGATTTAATAAGTGTAATACAGTATGACTTAAGCTTGTTAGTATACAAAATTTAATTCAATAAATGATTATTTATTGTACTCCAGCATTTGTTCATTAAAAAAAAAATTATAATCTAAACTCAAAGAAGCTTTCAACCACATCTCACAGGCTTCGTATGTTCATATGTTCAAGCGAGACTGAGACAAAACTTTTGCCGAACTTAAGCGAATTTCACATTTTCAAAGATTCTCTTGATGGAGAGCGTGTGGAATGGGACCACAAGCAGGAACCTAAACTTTTCATTTCTTGTTTTACTTTCGTCCTAAAACCATCAGACTAGTCATCTCTCACATGTTAAACCACAGATATATGACAAGAACAAGATACCCAACGCCAAAATGGTGCCTATTCAATTTATTGAGAATGCTTACCTGGTTCTTTCGCCAAAAAAGTTGGCAGCTTCGGGTGTTTACTTCCTGGTTATGTGGACCACTGAATAAGCGCGAATAAGTGTTTCTCCCCTGGTCCCACTCGGTCCAGGGGAGAAAAAGAAGGTCCAGTGTGTAACATTAAGGAGGCTCTAGTGGCAGAAATGGGATGGAATAGATTAACTAATCGATAAGAATATGGTTTTTTGCGAATTAGCTGTAATACCTACGATGATTATAGAAGTGAGCTTTGTACCTATAATAAATCTACAGATGCGCAGCCTTATACGTCGCACAGAAGCACAAAAGCAAAACAAACACGGGATCATGACGAAAAGAGCTGTTCGCGGTGTTCTCCCTGTTCCAAGTTTTCCATTGATGCATATGAGAAGGGGAGGAGTGAAGATAGGAGTTGCAATGCTGACTAACCGGTCCCAATAAACCCCATAGAGATCCAACTCGAAAACAAACATAATAACACATAAGAAACGTATACGCACATAACGCAGTATAAAAGTAGCACTAAAGCTACAAAAAGGGCGAACTGAATTCAGCTAACACTCTAGGCTAACCTGCTAACATAGTTCCTTAGGCTAACCTGGTCATAACGGAGTGAAGCTGCTGCAGCTTAATTAGTTTTTCTCAGTTCAAGCTGATATAAGACTGCCGATTCAATCTATTAGAAATTAACCAGTGGTAATAGTGGCCTAAATTGATTCGAAACTTTTGATGCATGCAATCATTGAGATCTCATCCCAAAAAAGCACAAAAAAGTAACCAGGCGCCATTTATTAGGGCGGGAGAAAACCCCATCTGTTAAATAGGCTCTTTTGTGTAGTTCTGACACATATTAAGTCGGCTTTTGACTGTTTCTTTAGTCATGATATGATTGTGTAGAAGAGAGATAAAGCTCGTCGGATGTGAATGTGTGAACTGTCCACCAAAAACTTCCTAGAAGTTTTCAATCAGTTGTGTGTGTGTGTGTGTGTGTGTGCTGTGTGTGATCAAAACCAACAAAGAGGGATGATGTGTGTTTATTGACATAGTTCTGTCAGTATGGATCAAGCAGGCTTCCCATACCAGGACATACACGGCAGCTGTAGCGACGTCATGCTCACTGCCACAATCGCTGAAATTGAGTCCCTAACAGGCACTCGCTATTGAATTGTTTGGGTTGGGAGTTGAGGTGACAAAGGTGATCTTTCCATGTGCAGCACACGTCTGAGGATTTATAAGATGAGTACATAATCGACCGAAAAAGATTCCCTCGCTCAGAAAATGCTAGAGAGGCCCCGCCCCCTATGCTGGGATACCAAGTCTCCCTCAATCTCGCTCGATTCCCATCTGACTTTGTCAGTGGTCGTGTCGCCCCAGTCTCTCGCCCTTGCCCCGTTTCTAATATAATAACAGGTATACTGTCGGAAAGTCTGAATATGTACACTACTTTACAGGTAGCTTCCTTGGTCCAATCTCAAGAAAGAGATTATCCTTAACTAAATGTGCACCTGCCTCAATGCTTGAACACCCTTCTTCCGCCACTCTGCTCTGGAAAATTAAAATTTTCAAACCTTTAGTGTCAACCGTATTAGCAATGCAAGTGACAGATCGTGTTCGGCCACCTATGAGAGTGTTGTGCTGACCTGGCATGTGTAACTGAATAATAAATTAATAGGGATGACTGGATAGACCGACCCCGGATCCTGCCCAGACGTGCGAAAGGGCACATAAAGGCAGTATACGGTAGTGAACCACCAATACGGGAGCGTGTAGTCCCACACTGGACACTATCCACTTTGCACTGGGCAGTTATCGCAGATTATCAAACCGCTTAGCCTATGTGCCATTTCTGGTGATTA